CCACCCCAAGGAAGGCACTCCCCCAACCCAACAAAAAAGCCCCCGGCCCCCCCCCCCCCCCCACACACACACTACACAAACCCAGCACAGGAGGTCAAACGAGCCGCCCACCTGGATGATCATCTTGTGCAGCTTCTCCTCGTGGCTCTCCATCTCCGTGTTCTGCCGCACCTGCACCCACACGTGCGGTGCCACCCAGGCCGGCCATGTCGGGCAGCGTGCAACAACACACAGCGGACCCCATTGTGCGGTCTTGCTGCCATGATGAGCTTGTCAAGCTGCACAGGCGCCAATCCCCCTGCTGCTTTGCGCAGCCCATGCCAGCGCGTCCAGCTGGACTGCTGCGTGCCCCGCCATGCGGGCACCACCCCGGCGCCTCAGCAACCCCGCTGCGCCGCACGGCAGCCTCTCCGATGTGCCCGCACCTGCGCCACCGTCACGTTCTCCTTGTGCCCCAGGCTGATCACCTCGTCAAAAGCAAACAGCAGGTCAAAGGCGGCGGCTGCCACCTGCAGGCCGGCAGGCGGCGGCAAAGCTTCAGCACACGCGGGCGCTGCTTGCCAACCCGCTGAACCACGCTGCGCGCGCCGCTGCACGTGCCGCGACGGCACCGAAGCGCCGCAGCAGGGGAATACCGGCGGCACAGCAGCAACAGCGCAGTGGCAGGCTCCGACGGGCTGCCCCGCCACCACGACAGCAGGGAGCAGCGGCGGCGGCCGCGGCAGTCGTTATCATCGCTCACATCCTCCTCCTCCAGCGCCTCCACATACTCTGGCACGATCTTGCCGCACAGCCGCAGCGTCTCCAGGTCCTCCAGGATGTTGCTGCTCTTGTTGGTCACCAGCACGAGGTACATGGTCTGCCAGGCGGGAGCAGGCAGGCGGGGCAAACACAGGCGGCGTGGGCGGGCGGGCGGGCAGGCACGGGAGAGCGGCTGGCTGCAGCTGCCGAGCGGGCTAGCGGGCAGGCCTCTGTCCATACAGCGCCATGCTGTGCGTGTGGTGGTGCTAGCGAAACCCGGCTGGTGCAAGGCGGCGCGGCGATCGCACGGCGCGGCGATCACCCGCACCCCGCCGCGACCGGGCCGCCTGCCCCTCTTGCTGCAGCGCACCTCGATGGGCTGGTACAGGTAGCGCACGTTCTCCGTCTCCACATAGGTGTGCTGCTTGCCGGTGCCCACCAGCTTGGGGAAGGCGGCCAGCAGCCCCTCGATGCGGATGCGGCTCATGTCCACGAACTGGCGGGAGACCAGCGCTGCAGGCAAGGAGAGGGGGCGGTTGAGGGCTGCGGCAGGGCAGCTCCCCGCTCCGCCGCAGGCCCAGCAACAAACAGCGGGCGCCTCGCCCGCCCCGCCATACCCTTGCCGGTCTTGGTGACCACGGCGGCAGCTAGGACCACCATTTTGCGCTGCTACAGCCGCAAGGGGATCGGCAACAGCCGCAAACAAAGCCTCGCAGGCCCCAGCGGCGTGAAAATGGGTTGCGCAACCGCGATCAGGGAGCTTGGGGGTACGGGGGAGCGATTTTTGGGGGGCAGGCAACTCAGCATGCCGAGCAGGGTGGCCACCTGGGCCAGGTAGGCCTCCCTGTAAGGATGTGCCCCATGATGGGCATGATGGCCCCCCACCTGGAGGGTGATTGGGGACATCATCATGCCTGGGCAGTTTGATCCCAGCCCTAATTCGGTGCGGGGAGGACGCAGGAAGGCATGCGGAGGCCGGAAAGTGACTTCAGATAGGCACAATGAGTCTCTCAAAGCTTGATTGCTTCTCGGAAGAGTCCCTAGGCGGTGCCAGAGCCCCCGCTCCGTCGCCATTGTGGGCTGGTCGGTGTACAGGTGCGTACATGAATGAGAGGCTCGAAACATTGCAAGAAAACTAATTCGGTCTGATGCCAATTAGGATGTGAGTGCTCATTGGCCGTCAGATCCATGCACCCAGCTGGGCGCACCGCCCACCGCTAACCGCTGCCACTGCTATGCCTGCCTGCCTGCAAGTTGCTGGATTCCCACGCCCCCTACCTGACATCCAGCATACCTGACATCCAGCATACCGATAATATCGCCGGCCCACTGGGATACTTTTCATGAGATGGTGCACCCCTGGACCAGCGGCCGCCGCCCGCCGCCCGCCGCCGCCGCCGCTGCCCGAGGTACGTGGGGTACATCCAGGTTTGAACCCCGCGGAAGCGCCTGCCGATCCCATTTCGCCTATTACATCCTGCTGCATCCATCTACTATTGCTGGGCCTCGGTTTTGGAGGAAAAACACGCAGCTGAGGGCCATCGAGGGCCTGTCTGGAGCCCTGGGCGACCGCTGGCAATCTAGAGAGCCTAGGAATGTTAAGACCAACTTCACCCCGGCCGCCAGAGCCGTTATCACCCGTGTTCTCTCGCAAGCGCGTGCGGAGAGCCGCATCGCACGTCCTCCTGGTCTCCGTGTTCCTCTGGTGAGCTGCGGGGTCGATTTCTGGTGAGCAGGCCAGCGCGGGCCGAATTGGCGCTGGCAGCAAGTTAGCTGCCGACGCCGCCGCTAGCTGTCCGCCTCCCCTCTCCGCCTGCCTCACCTGCAGCCTGAACTCCGGGCTCAATCTCCTGAATAAGTGGTCCCTGGGCCACGCCGGCTTCCGCTTCCCCTTCCTGCTGTCCTCCTGTGAGTGGCATCCACCGGCGCTTTGGGCGTGCGGCCGCCACCCGCCGCCCATCGCGCCAACCGCCACCGTCGATGCACCCTGCACCACTGCCCACCTGCCCTGCTGCCGCCTCTCCCGCAGGTCACATGGCCTTCAGCTTTGCCGTGCTGGCCCCGGTGGCGCTGCTGCACGGCTGGGAGGCGCACCGGCGCACGCTGCACCAGCAGTGGCCCGGCATCCTGTGCATCGGATCCTTCATGGCCCTCAACATCGCCCTCAACAACATCAGCCTGCTCGACATCTCCCTCTCCCTCAACCAAATCATCCGGTGAGTGCTTGCGGGCATGGCCTGGGCTGGCCGGCTTTTGGATAAGCATTTCTGGGGCGTTGCTGGGCCCTGCTCCAACTGGCCTCATCCATTCATTCCCACCCACCCTTCCCCTCCTTCCCTCCCCGCCTGCCCGCCTGCAGCTCTGCCATCCCAGTGGTGAGGCACCCAGCCCGCCACGCGCTTGCTTGCTTTCTTCCCCCGAGTGCCTGCACAGCTGGGCCTGGGGCGCAGGTACCTGCATGATTGCCCCCCACCTATGCCAGGCACACAACCACTCTCTCCCTCTTGCGTGCTGCGTCCCTTGTGTCCCCGCCAGGTGGCGTGCATCATGGCTGTGCTCATAGAGTCTAGGTACCCTTCCCCTCAGGAGGCAGCCAGCCTGGTGGTCATCTCCCTGGGAGTCATGCTGGCGGTGTGGCAGGTTGGCGGGCAGCTGCGGCATGCGGGGCCGGCAGCGCCAGTTGCGCTGGGGGTGTTTTGAGGAGGCTGGGTGGCTGGGAGAGGCGCGGCATGTGCAGTAGCTTGCAGCCGCAGCGGCCGAGTGTCCAGGGGGCGCCGGCCGAGCGGTGCTGCGCCCTGCAGGGCTGCTTGCTCCCCGACCCCTGCTTGCTGCCGCATCCTTTCTTTCTTGTCATTCTTTCTTGCAGGGCGCTCTGACGGGCAAGCCCTACGCCATCGCCTTCTGCGTCGCCGCCACCGTGTGCAACGGCGGCTTCATGACCCTCAGCAGCAAGCTGATGAGGTGGGCAGGCCGTCCCCTGTGTGCTGCTTGCATGCACGAGGGGACGGTCTGGCAGCTGTTGGCAGCCATCTGTCCTGATTGCACCAGGGGAGCCAGCGCAGGCGGTTGCGCAGCGATGGGGGCGATGGTGGTGGCTCTGCGCCTGGGCTCAGGCGAGCCTCTCCCTCTCCAATTTCTCCCGGCACCCCCGCCCGCCTTGCCTGCCCCGCAGCGAAAAGCTGGATGTGGTGCGGCTGGCCTTCTATGTGGCGCCCGTCAGCCTCGCCTGCCTGGCGCCCTTCTATTGGGTGTACGAGGTGAGGCCTGCGGCGGCTGGCCGGCACGTGGCCGCCAGCGCTTGGGCTGGCCAGCACCCAGGGGCTGGCTGTGGTGGATGCCGATTCCGGCGGCTGCCGCGGCTGTCGGCAGCCGGCCCTCTCCCATGCCCCTGCTCCCTTATTGCTGGGCTACCCCTCCCCATCACAACACACACACACACACGCACACACACACACATGCACACACACACACACGCACACGCACGCCCCCGCAGCACGAGCACTTCCGGGCGTACTACCCCGCCCACCGCCGCTCCGCCCAGGCCATCCTGCTGGCCTCCTCCGCCCTCGCCCTCTGCTACAACCTGGCCCACTCCCTCATGATCAAGCGCATATCTGCTGTGGCAACCACGGTGGTGGGAGAGTTCAAGATCCTGGCGCTCCTGCTGCTCTCTGCCTTCCTGCTGGGTACGTCGCCGCCGCCGCCGCCGCCGGCCAGCCCGCTCCCCTCCCGCTCGTGCCTTCGGGGAAGCTGGCTGGCAGCCGGCCTGCGTCCGCTGGATGCCGGAGCAGAGATCCAGGCACGGAGCCGGCCCGGAGCGCTCGTTGGTTCCGCTCCCGGGCGTCTCGTTTGCACGCTGCCCTGTCCCTCGCCCGCCTACCGTGCACCCGCGCACCCCGCCACCCTCACGCCTTCCCCCTGCGCTCCCCTGCCGCCTGCCCTCCCTGCAGGTGAGAAGAGCGAGTTCACCCCCAAGATGATCGCAGGGTGCACCCTGGCGCTGGCAGGCTTTGCAGCCTACAGCCACACCAAGCTGGTGGCGGCGCGGCAGCGGCAGCGGCGGCAGCAGACGGGGTCGGAGTGAGGGCAGCGGGGCCGCGGCGGGTGGAGCGGCAGGCCGACGGCGGCCCGGCCTTTCTTCATGCCCATGCGGGGTTATCCAGAGGCGTGGCACAGGCCGGGCTGCGGTAGCCGGCTGGAGGGGTGGTGGGGCCCGCCTGCTGCGCGGTACCGGGCTGGAGGGGAGGGCCTCATGGCACGGCACCGCTTCTTGCAGGCACGCCGGCCAGTGCGGCAGCAGCTCCAGACGTGAGCAGTGCTTGCAGCGCAGGCGCGTGGGTGGTGGCTGCACCAGGCATCGACCTGCCCAGGCGCACCCAGGCACATCCCGCCCTGTGCCGCCGGTGAGGTGGGGTTGGATCGCTGCTGCTGCTGCTCAAAGGCCTGATCTGGCACTGCAAATGCCGACCACTGCCCCTGTGTTCCTACGGCCAAGCAGCCGCTGTGTGCGCGCCGCTGCACACTGTGTTGCCTCACCAAGCCACACACCGCCTGCCTGCAGGCGCAGGCAGGGCAGCACACGCCGCACCGCGCACGGCTGCTGCCCCTCCACCAGTTGGGGGCAGGGCGGGGGAACAGGGCTGCCTCCTGCGCCACACCCTGGCGGCATGCCAGACAGCTCTGCCCAGGCGTCCAGGTGTGCGGCCAGGTGCAGCAGTGCAGCAGCCGATGTTGCCTGTGGCGGTGTGCCCGACCCCGCAACCAGCCACCTGGGAGCGACCTTGGAGGGACGTTGGATGCTTGGCGGGCCCAGAGCAGCCGTGGGAGCGGCGTGGCTCCTCCCTGCTGCTGGAGCAACCTGCAGCTCGAGGGGTGCACCCAGCGCCTGCTTGTGGTGCCAAGCTTGTGGGCCCTCGCAAGCCCAGCCCCCTGCATGCAGAGGCTGCTTGGTGCCGGTGTCCCTTCATGTCCCTTCATTCTGCTTCAGTCGCTCTCATGCCTCCAATTTGGCCGGAAGCGGCAGCAGGAGCGTGCTGTTACAAAGAGGTCAGCAACACAAGTTGAGGAGCCCGGCCTCATTCCGTGCCACCGATATCGCCGCCGCCGTCCCTTGCGTTGCCGCCGCCGCTCCCCTGCCCGACGCCCCCGCCCCGCCGCCGCAGCCGCGCCGCAAACGCGCCGTCGGTTCCGTGCACGTGCGGCAGCATGCGCAGGCAGCCGTCGGGCGCGAGGCACTGCGGCGGGACGCCGGTACCGGCGGGCACAGCCTCCAGCTCGTACCCCGGCTGGCGCGCCAGGAAGGCCGCCACCTGCTGCTCATTCTCCTCCTGCTCTATGGAGCAGGTGGAGTAGACGAGCAGCCCCCCGGGCGCCACCAGCCCCGCAGCAGCGTCCAGCAGCTCGCCCTGCAGCGCCGCCAGCTGGCGCAGCTCTTCCGGCGTGCGCCGCCAGCGCAGGTCCGCGCGCTTGGCCAGCACGCCGGTGCCGGAGCACGGGGCGTCCAGCAGGACGCGGTCGTACTGCCAGGGCTGCCGCGCCTCCGTACCGCCGCCTTCTGCACCGCCGCTGGCCTCCGTGCTGCCCTCTGCCGAGCCTGCCCCAACGCTGCCGCCGCTGCTGTCACTGCTGGGGGTGTCTGCTGGCTGTGCCGCCGCCTCAGCAGCCTCCTCCGCTCCCTCCCCCGTGGCAGCCGACGGCGACGGTACTGGCCCCTCGGGGCGGTACCGCAGCGTGGCGAAGCGGCGCAGGTCCGCCGCAAACGTGCGCACCATGTCGCCGTGCGGCTGGCGCAGCGCCGCGTGCCGCAGCGCGGCCAGCCGGCTGCGGCTGAGGTCGAGCGCGGTGATGAGGCCCCGCCCGCGCATGCGCGACGCAGCGCCCAGCGCCTTGCCACCGGGAGCGGCACAGGCATCCAGCAAGGTCTCCCCGGGCTGAGGGTCCAGCGCCGCCACCACCAGGCCGGCCGCCTCGTCCTGCGGGCAACCGGCGGCGCAGGGCAGCGGCAGGCAGCGTAAGCTTAAACTTCTGATCCATGGCTGGCGCGGTGGTGCAGCGCAGGGCACGGCACAGCACACCGCGCAGGGTGCGGCGCACCGTGGTACCGTTCCAGCTGGGTGGCCAACCGGGCAGCAATCTGATCCCGCAGCAGGCAATCAGCAGCAGGCGGGCAGCAGCAGGCGTGCGCCCGCGCAAGCTCCCCACGACGGCGGCACGCAAGCAGGGCCCGCGCCGCCGCTCGCCTGCACTTGCGCCTCGCCCCGCTGCACCAGCCCCTCCACCAGCAACGCCTGCAGGCCTCGGTCCACCGTTACAAACTCGCGAGGCAGATAGCGGGAGGGGGCTGCCTGCGGTGGGGAGGCGAGGGGAGGCAAGGCCGGAGGACCGGTTGCGGGGTGGGGGGCGCGGCAGGGAGCAGGGGGTGAGGCAGGCAGGCGGCCGCTGGCGGGCTGGCAGACCGGGCCAGCGGGGGCAGCCAGGCAGCCGGTGCCCAGCTGCCGCCATGCCGGCTGCTCAGCCGGCGGCCCCACCTGTACCCCGCTCCTCGCCAGCTGGCGGCAGAATGCCTCGGCATCCACGCCGGGAGCCAGGCGCAGGGCATACCGCGGGCGCCTGCAGGCCCAGGGCAGCAGAGGCGGGGGCAGGGGTCGGCGTGCGTGTGTGCGTGCGCTTCCAAGGATGGCTGCGGCGCCTGGCAGGCAGGCTGGGTTGCCGGGGACGGCACACACGCACACGCCCCACACTCGAGGGCACACACGCAGCCCTGCCCCGCCCTCCCACGCCACACTAGTCACACAAACAGAGCGGCGAGCGCCCCCGTGATGCACGCGCGGCGGGCGCCGGCGGCTGCCCGGCAGCTGCCGCCTCCCCTCACATGTTGTTGTGCTTGAGCAGCGCCAGCGTAGCGGCGGGACCGTACTGCGCCAGCCAGCGCTGCACCAGCCAGGTGGGGTGCGAGGCCCCTACCGCCAGCACCTCGGCCGCCTGCTGCGGCGGCATGCCCTGGGCTGGCCGCGGCGGCTGGGGCAGCGTGCCTGCCTCCAGGCCGCGGGCCACGTTCCTGCGGTGGTGGTGGCGGGGGGTGGGGGGCGGGGGAAAAGTGCTGGTGGCACACACCAACGAGCCAGGCAGGCAGGCAGGCGGGCAGGCAGGCAGGCTGGCTGCCGCCAAGGCAGCTGCGCCACGGTGCCGCCCCCCATCCAATCCCATGGACGCAGGCAGCCCCCTGCACACACCACAGGCACAGCTGCACGCTAGCGCTCGTGTCAGTCGGGCGGGCCGCACCTCAGGACGCCGTTGGTGGCGTTGGCGGCCCCCTGGTGCTGCACAGACTTCACCAGGTCCACGTAGCTGTTGATCACGCCGTGGGTGGCGTCTGCGGGGGGCGGTGCGGCGCCAGGTCAGCGCCAGGTCAGCGCCAGGGCGGCACCGGACACGCGGCCAGCGCCAGGGTTGCATTGGACGCGCGGTCAGCCGGCTTGCGGGGACCAGCCAAGCGCAGCAGCAGCAGCAGCAGCAGCAGCAGCAGCAGCAGTGCAGCCCAGCGCCAGCAGCGCAGCGGCGGCGCGCCCGCAGCGCCGCCCGCGGGCACCGCCAGCCGGGCCGGGTGTGGGTGGCAGGGCCAGCGCGCGGCGCGGCGGGCGCGGCACAAGGGCCGCCTCTCACTCTTCAGCTCCGCCAGTTCGTACAGGCCCAGGCGCAGGGCGTTGCGCACGGGGGCATCCAGCTGCGCCACATCCCTGCCCCGCAGCAGCTGGGTGAGGGAGAAGTCAAGGCGGCGGCGCCAGCGCGTGACGCCGCTCACCAGCTCGGTCACACCCCGCGCCTGCCTGCACGCACGCACGCGCAGGACGGGTGAGGGGAGGAGGCGGCAGGCGTGGGCGCGCGGGGGGCGTGCTTGCAGGGCGCGGAGGGCCGGCTGCCGCGCGCGCTGGCGCGCAGCCGGGGCATCCGGCGCAGGGGGAGCGGGGTGCGCGCGCGGCGGCCGGCGGCGCTACCCTTGCATGCAAATTAAAGACCATGCAGTAGGTTCCTATTTTCTTATTGAAAGCTTATTCTATTCTTTCGCACACCATCAGCACACCCCCACCTGGGCTCCAGCCGGGCGCTCCAGGAGCCCGCGCCGCCGATGCGCCGCTCGCTGCTGGGCTCGCCGCCGCGGCTGCCGGGGTCGTAACCGTCCAAGCCGCCCTCCCCCACATCATCTGGCTCCCCACCGGGGGAGCCGCCCACCAGCCCCGCATACGCCCCCTCCTGCTCGATCCGCAGCAGCTGCAGCAGCGCCACGGAGCGGGTGGTGGGAGGCCTGCCTGCCAGCCGGTCCATCCACCTGCAGGGGTGGCGGCAAGCACGGGGCAAGCAGGGGAGGTGGGCGTGGGCACACCGCCAGACGGAGGTGCGCCAGCCGCCAGGCAAGGCAGCGGCGGGGGAGCAAGCATAGCAGCGCAGCGCTAGCAGATGCGCGCGCTCACATTTGCGTTTCATCAAACTCCCCGTCCTCTGCGTCTCTCCGCTCCTGCTCACTGGCGGCCCTGGGCCGTGCTGCGCAGGCGGTCAGTTGGTGAGCCGCGTGTCGGCCGCCAGGCGGCGGCGGCGGCGAGCGGCGGTGCCTGGCGGCGTGCACCGGCAGGGGCGTGGTGGGTGCCGCCC